CATATATAATTATATATTCAACACTAACATTTACTTGGCACTGACCACAGACCAGGCCCTATTCTAATCACTTTATAAGTACTAACTCATTTAATCCTCGCTACATCCTAGGAGGCAGGTAGGACCTTTATTTAATTTTTCCACTTTCTGGGGCTTCTTTGTTGTAATTGCAAAAGGAATACATGCCACTTAGAACATACTGCACCAGGCTCGGGTCATGTGAAAGCGAGTCCCTCACCCCGCCTGCCTCCATGGGCCTTGGGGAGAGTCTGTACAGTGGGGACCCAGCAGGGGTGATGGCGCCCAGATGAGGGGCCACGGCAGTGTTTGCCCAGCCATGGAGGATACAGTCAGGCCAGGCCTCTCGTCCCACAGCTGCACACATGACAGCCCCAGGGCCCAGCCCTGACCCAGGCTGGGGGCACAGGAAGGACCGGCCACAGGCCTCACTTCAAAGAGGGGCCATCTGGCAGTCATACCCCTATGACAACATGAGTGGCCGTCTTCATGGGTGGCCTCAGCGCCCTGGGAGAGCAACAGGTGCATCCACTTTATAGATGGACAGCTGAGGCTCCAAGAGGCTGCCGGGCAAGCCACACACAGGCAGTGTGGATGGAGGCCCAGATCCCTGGGACCTACCCAGCCGTGGGATGGTGCAGAAGGTGCCCACTCTGCCTGGGTCATTCCAGAGAGAGCAGATGACAAATGGGCCTGAATGGGAGAGGGAGGAGGAGAGAAAGAGAGAGGGAACTGCGTCTTATAAAATGTAAACATTGCAAACAGGGGAGGTACGGGGAGGCACGAGCCCTCTCCCCCAGCCTTCCACGGCATCCATGAAACCCACCTGCCTAATGAGCATCGGGATGACGGTCTCAAAGGTGACCCCAAAAGGACACCACCCCACCAGCTGCCTAGGCTAAGTCCAGACACATAGACTCTTGAGAGACCGGACCCCTGGCCCCATTGATGACCAGGTCCCATGGCAACAGACTAGTCACTGGGACACGTCCAGGCCCCGGCCATCAAAGCTGGCTCTGAACAACAAACTTGAACAAAGTTGGAGGCGATGGAGAAGGGAAGGAGGGGCAGATCTTGGCTCACAGAACCTCAACCCGATGACGGTGCCCCAGCTGGAGCCAGAGCAGTAGCCCTGCTCCGTGTCCTATGGAGAGCAGCCAAGCCAGGCCTGGGGTCTTCTCCTCCTAGAGGATGGGCCACATTCGCCATTCGAGGCCACAGCCAAGAAACATGCCAACCGTGGAAAGAGCCCAAGAAGCCCAAGTGAAACTCTGCAGCAGCATCCACTGCTCTGGGCAGGCATTTAAGGCTCTCACCTCCCCATCCCGGGGTCACCTTCTGTGCAGCTGAAGTCTGCCCTGCCTCAACGCACCACGGGGCCCCTTCTCCTGGGGCCAGAGCCTCTGGCATGCACGCCCAGCCCTGCCCAGGGAAGGGGACCTCACCCCAAGCACCCACTCTGCTCTGTGCCCTCACAGTAATGCCACAACTACCCTAACCAGGCCACCTTTCTCTGGAGAGGAAATAAAGATCACCAACCAAAACCACCCCCAGAGCGACAGAGAGGGCAGGGAGGGGACCCAGGGAGCACAGGCAGAGGACCTCCTGCAGGAGGTGCAGCTCCACACAGGCCCTGAATGGCAGGCACAGCTGAAGAGCTGGCGGAGCTGGGAGCAGGCCCCCCGCAGTCGCCCTGTCAGCGGGGCTGCTGGCTCAGCACTGCCCAGCCCCAGCTCCCAGCCACTGGACCTCCCTCCACCGCCTTCCTGGGGCCCTCAGCTCATCCCACCCAGGTCTGGGCGGAGGGGGTCAGGGCTGCATGCTGGGCCCAGGCACAGCAGGCAGACCCAGGCAAAGGTGCAGCCAGCAAGGTCACCGCCAGGCCGCTGCTGAGGGCTGTTTATCTCACCCTGACAGTCCCCAGCCAACAGCCCCCTCCGGAGTTCACCCAAACCACGCCTCCATGGTCCACAGCGCCCGGCCCAGCCACGGCTGCCTCCGGGGGGCGACTCCAAGCCCAGCCTCCAGAGTCACAGAACCCTGTCACCTCGGGAGGCCCTGGAAGGTCCTCTGTTTTGGGTCCCGAGGGCTCTGAAGTTACCAGAAGCCCCTCATCTGGGCTCCAAGCTCTCTCAGGCTCCCAAGAAGGCGGCCAGTGGGCCTATCACTCTGTTACTAGCCACCCCATCCTTCCCGGGGCAAACGGGCACCAGGAGCCCAGGGGGTCTGGTGATGTCTGAGACCTGTGGACTTTCCTTTGCAGGCTGGGCCTTCTGTTCCCACCACCCAGGCTGATGCCAGCGCTGCGTACCCCGACAGGCGCGGGGCACTGGCCAGCCCTGAGCAGCAGGGGAAGCCTCGAAAATGGCTAGACAGCTGAAAGCCAGGCCCCTGACACTCACCCCCAGCAAGGGGCAGGAGCACTAAATTTAGCCAAGTGGGGCAGGAAGTCCCCGCCTGTCCCGCCCACCTGCGGCTCCGCAGCCCTCGCCCCTGCCCCAACTCCGCGGAGAACAGGCCGAGGGCGCGGGGCTCCTGCAGGAGCCAGGAGCCCGCCTTCCGCCTCTGCCACCCCCGTTGCCGCTCCCGAGCGCTCACCAAAGGGAGGACACGTCCAGTGTCCACCTCTAGGTGAGCTCGGTCCTTGGCTGGTGGCCGGACAGCGGGGAGCGGGAGGGCCCCTGCGCAGCCGGCAGGGCCTGGGGGAGGCAGCGGCGAAGCCTGGAGACTGAGGAGCAGCGAGATTTTGCAACAGTTGCCTCCCCAGGAGAACTCCGTCCTCGTGCTCCACGGCGCCTGATTCATCCCTGACGGCGCTGAGCTGCGAGTCCTGCTGCCCCTACTCGCACGTTCACCTTCGCCAGGGCTTCCTGGAGCCTCCGGGCTGGTGGTGGCGGGGGCGCAGCGGCGGGAACAGAGTCCCCTCCCCCGCCAGCCAAAAGCAAAACTCCCAGGGGAGGAGGAGCAGAGCAGGGCTGGCAGCTCTGGACATGCCCCGCCATGTCTGGGTTAGGGTCAGGGGTTAGGGTAGGGTTAGGGGTTAGGGTTAGGGGTTAGGGCCAGGGCAAGGAGTAGGGGTTGGGTAGTGTTAGGATTAGGCTCAGGGCCAGGGCCAGGGTTAGGGGTTATGGTTAGGGTCAGGATGAAGGTGAGGGTGTGGGTTAGGGTCAGGGTGAAGGATTAGGGATAGGGGTCAGGTGCGTGGCAGAAGCTGGGACATAGTCCTTATAATACAGCAGAGAACTCATACAGGGGAGAAACCCTATGCATGTGACAAATGTGACAAATCTTTCTGCCATAAGTCAGACCTTACTCTTCATCAGAGAATCTGCACAGGGGAAAAACTCTATGAATGTTATGAATGTGGGAAGTCCTCCTACCAGAAGTCAGCCCTCAGTGTACATCAGATAACTTACAGGGAGACACCTCATGAATGTAATGACTGTGGTAAAATCTTCCATAAGAAGTCAGCTCTCATGGCACACCAGATAACTCACACAGGAGAGAGACCTTATGAATGTAAAGAATGTAGGAAATCCTTTGGCCATCGGCCAGCCCTCACTGTACATCAGAGAACTCATGAGGGACAAACCTTATAAATGTAATGAATGTGGTAAATCCTTCTGTGTGGAACCAAAACTCACTGTACATCTGAGACTTCACACAGGTGAGAAACCTTATGGATGTGGGAAGACTTTCTACCAGAAGTGAGAACTCACTGTTCACCACAGAACTCACACAGGTGAGAAACCTTACAAATGTAATGAGTGTTGGGAAAACCTTTTGTGGGAAGTCAACCCTCAATAGACATCAGAAAACTCACACGAGAGAAACGCTATGGATGTAATGAATGTGGAAAACCTTTTCCAGAAATCACACCTCAGCAAATATCTGAGAACTCACACAAGGCGGAAATCATGTATGGTGGAGACTCTGTGTACACCAAAACTCACTTTCTTTTCCTATGGTGAATAGTATTTGAATATACCTAAAATGCTTTAAACATTCATCAATAAGTATAAAGGAAGTTATCTTCTATTCCTAGCTTTTTATGAGGTTTTTTTTTTTTACATAAATAGGTATCGAATTTTGTCAAAGGCCTTTTATTCATCAGTTGAACTATTTGTTTTTTCATTGTGAACAAACTAAAGCTACAAAATTAATTCTAATCATGGACTTAGCTGAAATGCAGTTTTCAAGTATGATGTTTCCATTGTTATTCAGGTGCATATGCTGTCTTAATTTCCACGAGACACGAGTTATTTTGATAGGGTGTTGCCAGTTCATTTATAACACAGGTGTGATTAAACGCACCTCACAGCTAGGAAACTGAGAGGCTGAGTTTGAGGTCTGATGCCTAAGGTCTCTGAAAGACTAAAGAGTTTTCCTTCTTCCATGGAAACAGTGCTCTTTAGTCTGTTTGGGCCTCTCTCCAACCCCACCCTATCACTGTCCTACCTGGGTGGGGGAGCCTTTCAAGAGAAGGAATCTCTTTGTACCTAATTCACTGTATTTTGACCCAAGAGCACAGACTGCCTTCCATCATTGCCCTTAATTGGGCTGATGCATTTCAGTGGATTTAACACATGCCTCAGAAGCACACAACAGTCCTAGATGACTGACTCCTGGCACACTAAGGATTTCTAACATATCATGTTCTTGTAACAAGCGTCTCAGTCATATATTTTGTGCCCATGAGAGCAGAAACTATACTTAGCCTCCAAGTACATTCCTTCTTCTCATCTAATCAGTGGGGACTGTGAGCATGGAACTGACTGGCTGAGGACTCCAGCACCTTGGTCCTCACTGTTGGGATTGCTGAGATTCTGTGTAGTCCAGTCCTGAATAAGGAACTCAAGAAACAACCACAGGGTGGGTTTGCAGAACCCCTGGGCCTATCACGAGATGGTCTCAGGCCTGCATCCCTCTGTCTGGGGACCTAGAACAGCATGTCAAGTCCTAGAGATGAGCAGACCAGAGACTGAGGTTTTGGGAAGCATTTATTGAGTGCCTGCTGTGGGACTCTGGCTGAAGTCAAAGCCAGAGTGTGGCTAAGGGTTCACCCAGTCTCGGGGGCCAGACGACCCCCACCCTCCCTGCACAGATGACACCAAAGCAACTGCACTGGAGGCTTTGCTTCCCAAAGCCCATGGAATAAGCTCCAGGGAAGAGTTGGTCCTCCTTGCCTGGGAGGGCATTGGCCCTGCTTGGTGGGCAGCTCTGGGTCTTTCTCCTGACTCCGGGGGGCTTGGGATTGGCCTGCAGGAGGTCAGGGTCTGAAGTAGGAGGCTTCATGCATCTCCACACCCTCCCCTGGGCCTTCCCACCCCACACTGCCAGCCTCTGCACTTTTGCCTTGGCTGTGCCTCTGTGGGAACGCCCTTCCCCTGAGATCATCCTCTGGGATTAGTTCCCGTATAAAAGGGACCCCAGAGAGCTCCCTTGCCCTTTCTACCACAGCAAGAAGATGGTCATCTTGGAATCAGGACGCTGGCGCTCACCAGACACCAAATCAGCCAGCAGCTTGGTCTTGGAGCTCCACACTCCAGAACTGTGAGAAATAAAACTCTGTAGTTTATGGTATTTCTGTTATAGAAGCCTGAACCAACTAAGGCACTGGTAATGCTGATTATATTAATGTTGACTAAGCCTTCATCTAAGTATATTGGCTTATTTGAGGAACTTGAAACAGTGGTGGCCACAGCAGGTGCTTAATAAAAGGGATATATGTGCATCTGTCCCATTTTCCTTTGTCCTTAGAAGGGGCTGTCCCTGAAGGCCACCCGATCCAAGCAAGCTTTCTGTGCTAAGCTTATGTCACTATTCAACCTTCATTGTGTGCAGACATTGTGGAGCACATGCCCTGCACCAAGGCCACACCACTGCAGGCAGGTCTGAGGGAGCCACCAGGAGGCTGCTGGTGACAGCGTTTCACAGAGGGGCCACAGGAGCAGAGCGTCACCCAGCTGAGGGCCACAGGCAGGTCTGAGGGAGCCACCAGGGCGCTGTTGGTGACGGCGTTTCACAGAGGGGCCACAGGAGCAGAGCGTCACCCAGCTGAGGGGTCGGCTTGCACGAGTTGCTCCTACAATTCTCTCCGCTTTAAGTTTGAAAATTCCCGCGAGGCAGCCAGGAGCACGTCCTTCCGGGGTGCACTTTTCACTTTTCTTCTCTACGCTCGCTGTTCTTCCGGAACTTTCCCACAGTTGACACGAGCTGCTGTCCCCTCCCCGGCGAGCTGCGCACCGTCACTCAGCAAGCCAGTGTCGCGATGATCGCCTGGATCCCGGTTTCGGAAAATAAAATCCATCGGTAAGAACCACGTTGGGGCCACGGATTGTGCGATGAGAACGCACATTCCCTGGGGACATTCCCTCAGGCGAGAGACCCGGAAAACGCTCCTTCTCTGCTTTAAGGGAGGCCTGCGGAGACTCTCGGGCCACACGGACAGGGTGACCCCGGCTACTTCCCGCCTGACCCGGAGCAGAGGCCACGTCCGGCCCACGCGAGTGAGCCCACAGGAGGCGGCGCGGGAGTCACTGGCTCCGCTGAGCGCCTGAGACCGTCACTCTGAGGCGAGGGCCGTGTCCCTCATGGCCGCCTGACCCTGAGGAAGAGGCCGCCTGCCTGCGCTCCCGCCGCCCCCGCTGCCCCCGCTGCCCCAGCCCAGCCCAGCCCAGCCCAGCCCAGCCCAGCCCTACCTCTGGCCTCCTCAGCCCGCACCTTGGCTTCCTCGGGCTCCCGCCGGAGGACCCGGGCCGCCCCGCCATCTCCTCTCTGGTTTGGTGCCTCCGCGGGGATTGGATGAACCCCCGCCAGGGGTGGGGCGTCCTGCAGCGCGCCTGCGCAGTGCGCTCCGCCTGACTGCACCCACCGCAGGGCTAACGGTTCCGGGCAAGCGCTAGTGCGCATGCTTAAAACCGTTGGGCCGTTGTTCAGGGTAGAGGAAGCCAGGGCCGTGTGCGGTCTTCCAGGCTTGCAATTGGCCACTTGAGGAGTCGGTGACCTGCGCATGTGTAGAGGCCTGCAGAGGGGCCGTCCTCGCTTGATGTCGCCGGTGTTGCGGCAAGTGTGCCTGCAGCCTGTGCGGGGGACCGAGTTCGAGTCCCGTCTCTGCCAGTGTTCATCACTGCGCTCCCAGGAGGGTTTCTGGTTCACCCAGGACTCCACGTCAGCGTTCTGGAGCGAGGACGAGTGTGTTGGCCCCACTAGACTAATCTTGGTGGCCCTTCAGGGCTGGATGGGGAGGAGAGTGAAGGGAGGAGCCAGGCCCCTTTGCTACCAGTTTTGATCCCCAGGCGGGCCCTACCCCCCCCCCCCGCCCCCCGCCCCGTGGTCACGTCCGCAGCCGAGGCGGGCTGCGAAGGATTGGACAGTGTCAGGGTCTGCAAGGTGGGCAGGGGGTGCAGATACTCCAGAGTATTCCTTTGGGGTCTGGGTGGCCGGTGTGGGGGTGGCTCCTCTGGCTGGTAGTGGGCCAGAGTGTCCTGCCCTGTGCTGCGCAGGTGGTCACCTGGGGCCCGGGGCAGGTGGTCACCCAGCCCCTCCCAGGCTCCCTGCCTGTGTGCTGTGCGGATTTCCCGTTTCTGGGGAGAGGCAGAGCTCCAAGGCCAGTGAGGGACCAGCAGACCTGGATGCAGGCACTGCAGGTTCAAGTTCCTGGCCTCAGTCTGCGCATCTTGTGCCGTCACTGTGCACAAAGCCTCTTTTGAGACATTTCACCCCGAATGTCCCTCATCTGTTGGCCGGGATCCAGTCACAACAGTAAAAACCAACCATAAGGAGCAGTTCTGAGCACTACGTCTTCAAAGCCCTGCTCTAAGAGCCAATCTCAGTTTTCATCATCTGTAGACTAGGAACAGTAGTAAACAAGCACATTTAATGAGTGCACCATTCCTATTGTCGTCATGGTACAGGATTATTTCATTTAATCTTCTCCCCACTCTGACAAGGCGCGGCCTGATAGGGGTCCCACTCACTAACTCTGCTGTAGCCACTTTCAACTTGAAAAGCAATTCACCTGTTACTTTATTTCAAAATGAGTTTATTTGGGAATAGCCAAAAGAATTATAATTCAGGATGTGCATACTGTGACAAACTGTAGGCAGATTCAGAAAGAAGGGAGCTGCTTTTGTAGAGGAAAAGGAGGAGAGGGAGGGGCTGTCCTAAAGGAAAGTCCCCTGGGGAGAGGAACAGTTCAGCACGGCAATGACTTGGCAGTTGAGCTGTGGCATTTCTGATTGGCGGGCTGTTGCCCGGTGGAGAAGGAAATCTTCCTTTGGTAGCAAAGCAGTTGTACTTCCTGTTGGAGATGCAAGCATCTGTGTTTTTCTGTTTGGTGTCATTGAGGATGTGAGACACAGCTGAGACGTCCACATACAGGCCTTCCTGACTTCAGTTAAGTTAGGGTTTCTTTTATCAATTTCCATACCACAAGCCTCCTTCCTCAAAACAAATGGACAGAAACCTTTACAAAGAGTGTCACGTCTACCAAACACACCTTTCCAAATGTCGAAGCATGAAATGTCACCACAAGGTTAATAGGCCTTCTAAAAACCAAGGCCTCCAATGATATAAATAAGGTGAGGGTAAGAGGTGCAGTTGTTAGAGTGAGGGTAAGAGTGAGGGTGAGGGTGGAGGGGGCGATGGATTTGCTTCAGGTTCAGATAGGGTTGGGGTGCTGGGTGGGGTTAGTTATAGGATTAGAGGATTGGGATTAGGGTAAGGGTTAGGGTTAGGGTTAGAGTGTTAGGGCTAGGGTTAGAGGGTTAGGTCGAGGGCTAGGGCTAGGGCTGGTGCTGGGGCTGGGGTTGGGGTTGGAATTGGGGTTGGATTTGGGTTGGGGTTAGGCGTAGGGTTAGGGTTAGGGTTAGGGGGTTGGGTTAGTGTTAGGGGTTAGGGTTAGGGTTAGAGGGTTAGTGTTCGGGGTGAGGGTTAGGGTTAGTGTTCGTGTTAGGGTTAGGGTTTAGAGTTAGGGTTAGGGTTCGGGTAAGGGTTCGGGTTTAGGGTTAGGGTTCGGGTAGGGTTAGGGTTCGGGTTCGGGTTCGGGTTCGGGTTAGTGTTAGGGTTTAGGGTTCGGGTTCGGGTTCGGGTTAGGGTTAGGGTTAGGGTTAGGGTTCGGGTTCGGGTTGGGGTTCGGGTTCGGGTTCGGGTTAGGGCTAGGGCTAGGGCTAGGGCTAGGGCTAGGGCTAGGGTTAGGGTTAGGGCTAGGGCTAG